TGGACGCCTGAGCAGAATGCACACCCTAAACCCTAACCCTAAACCCTAAACCCTAAACCCTAAACCTAAACCCGAAACCTAAACCCTGGCTGACGCCGGAGGCTGAGGGCTCCTGCGCTTTCTTGTCGGAGCGCCGCTTCCCGAAGAAGCCGATCAAGAAGGCTCCTGGGGTTAGGGCTTCGGGCTTAATTACGGGTTTAGGGTTTAGGACTTCAGGTGTTAGGGGTTTTAGGGTTTGGGGTTTTAGGGTTTGGGGTTTAAGGTTAAGGGCTTGCGGTAGAGTTTCAGGTTTAGGGCTTTCGGGTTCAGGGAAACTCTAGGGTTTAGGGTCGGCATTTTTCCATGGTCAAGTCTCCGGATGAGGGGCTGCCCTTGGATGTTCGAGCCACTTTCACCATGCCTGGGGAGGACCCAAAACCCAAAACCCAAAACCCAAAACCCCAAAACCCTAAACCCTAAGCCCTAAACCCTAAACCCTAAACCCTGATGTGTCTATGGCCGCGGGCTCTTGAAGATCGTCGGATCCTTCGAGGTGACCCCCAAGACCTGGGGCATTGAAGCAGCGCACTTCCCGAAGCCCTCAGATCCCGAAAGCTCCCCAGGCTCTGAATCCCGAAAGCTCCGCTATAAACCCTGAAGCGAAGCCCACTTGAAGGTTCATGGGTAGTTATCAGTAGGGTTGTAAGTCCCTTAACATGGGTAATAACTATAGTTACCCTAATTATAACCCCACTTATCACTACCCATGAACCTCCAAGCATCACGTGCCCTCAAGAAAGCCTGGAGGTCTTCTGCGCCAAGTTTTTTTGCGTCGCGGTGCTCCTGCAGATGCTAGCCGAGCTGGAGGCCCCAGCCAAACGCTCCTTATCCTTAAACCCCTAAGCCCTGAGCCCTGAACCCTACACCCTAAACCCTAAACCCTAAACCCTAAGCCCTGTTCTAGGGCCTAGCTAGGGCTTCAGAGCTTTAGAATTCTGGAGCCTCGGGTTTCAGGATTTCGGGTTTCATTGTGGTTAGGCTACCCTGCCTCCAGATTCAAATGTTTTTTGATATTTTGGGGTTTAGGGTTTAGGCTACCCTGCCTCCAGATTTAGAGGTTTTTTGATATTTTGGGGTTTAGGGTTTAGGGTTCAGGGTTCAGAGTTCTTTTTGATATTTTGGAGGGCTCCAAAATCTCAGAAGGGTTTAGGGCTTAGGGTTTTTGAGGTTCTGAGTTCCGGGCTCAAGGTCGGGGCCGAGAAACTTCAGCCTTTGAGGCTGTTTCCCCGGGCTTGCGCGAGGTTGAGCTTCTCAGGTTTCAGCCTGAGAAGCTCGAGGGTTTAGGGTTTAGGGTTTAGGGTTTAGAGGTTTAGAGGTTAAGGGTTTAGAGGTTTAGGGTTTAGGGTCTAGGGTTTAGGGTTTGAAGCGCGACAGGTTCGGAGCTCATGTGGTTCTATTTTGAACCATGGATGTACACCGGAAAGGAACCCTAAAGCCTAAACCCTAAACCCTTAACCTAACTTTTTCAGAGGAACCCTTCGTAAGGGATCCTTAGAGGAAGGACTCCGGAGGGGGCCTGAAGCTCTTGCTTGGGGGTTCATGGGTAGGTAAGTGAGAGCTAGCCCCCTAATATGGGTTATAATCGGATATAAGATACAACGATCGTTGATAAGGCTACCAAGTGGGGTTAGAAGTCGGATAGCTTCCAACTCTCGAATTACAACCCTACAACCCACCTTAAAGGACTTCGAACACCATTTGTAGTTACGCATGAACCTCCAAGTGGGAAGGTGGCCGGAACTCTGACGGGCAGCGCCGAGCTGACCGCCAGCGCAGATTTCGAGGTGTACAGCAGGACAGCGCTTTTATGACAGGGTTTAGGGTTTAGGGGTTTAGGGTTTAGGGTTTTGCACGGTTTCCAGAGGGTTTCTGTAGTGGTTTTAGGTTATGGGGCTCTGTATGTAGTATGGAGTACAGGGTTTTTTGGCAGGTTGTAGTGTCTTTCGGGTTTTCCTAGGCAGTACAGGGGCTTGAATAACTAGAACGTGTCATGGGTTATTAACTTTCAGTGTTTTGGGCTTCAGTGTTGCTCTTCGCATCACCGTCATTCTTGTGGGTATCCGCAATGCCGTCATGATTATCGTACGAGGCCTGTGTGGTCTTGCTACCCTCCTCCCCGAATTCTAAACCCAAGATCACGCAATACTTTGTCAGGGACAGACCGGACCGCCCTAAACCCTAAACCCTAAACCTTAAACCTTACTAGGTGAGAAAGAACGTTTCCACTTGGAAGCAGGACCACAGTGAATCCGACGGGCAAGGCTGAGGTGGAAGAGCCCCAGCTTGAACATCCAAGGGTTGCCCTTAACTCCAAACCCAAAAGCCCCCTAAATGCCAAACCCTGGGACATTTGATGAGCATAAAGTCGCACTATAATACACACGCCGCCTACAAGCCTGGGCATCAAACTCCGAGCATTTTGCCCTCCAACCCGCAGGGCCCACACCCGTTCAAGCGCTTGCCCACTCTAGCTGAATCTTCTAACACGCGTGAAGCCTTCTTTCGAAACACCAGACTTGTCAGTTCTCATTAAGCTTATACAGAACTTAAAAAGCGTAGCAACTTCAATGCTTGTCTCAGCCCGGATGAGCCCTAACGGAGCGTTAACTACACGCTACAAAGATGAGCCCTGGCCAACATGTAACTGGGCCGCAGACATTCAGACCCTAACGGGAGACAGCGGCTTTTAATTCTGTGGAAGGTTGACAGCCTGGAAGCCTTAGGCCCGGAAAGTCAAGCCGTGCAGCCATTGCCGTCGAAACCCTGAGCTTGAAGCCCTAATTCAGCTTAAGCCTCGACTCTCTAACTTCAAAGACCCTGTCCAGTCCCTAGAAGGCCCTGACCCCTTGACTGCTACTCCAAGACACCCCAATCTAAACTTCAGAAGCCCTAAACGGGCCTTAATCACCCCGTTTAAAATCCTGTAACCACACCCTTAAACACCCAAAGCCCTAAACCTCATTATCTTTGACTTGGTTCGTGTTGTTCTAGTGTTCTCGTTGCAGCCTCAAACGTTTGGTTCGAATGCGTAGGTCTCTTTTGGAGTCTATCTGCAGTGCCAAGCGGGAGGACGATCCGCATACATTTCACAGTTCTCACCTGACGCACTTGCACAAATACTCCCTCAGGTCCGTCAACCCCCTTCATAATCCGCATCTGCACCTTCTTGTCGGCCCTTAAGATCCCTAAACCCCAAATAAAGATACTCCCTAAGCCCTACACCCGTTGACAAACCCCATTAACCCCATAAACCCTTAGCCCTAACCCCCCCCCCCCCCCCCCCC